ACGGCTGCTCTTTAATGGTGAAGTACAGGAAGCCAGCTTGCTCGGGTTTAAATCCATCTTCGAAACAACTAAATTGGTATTTCCATTATTTATAACTAGGTATCACAATAAGCAGAATAATAATGTAGGTCACTATTATTGCTTTGATTCAATATTTCTAGTATACACGTCTGTTCACAACGTACGTCAAGAATCGAATCAAAGCCAGGATCCACGATGCGTCAAACGGAAAGAACATGCTCCCTATGGATGGGTCTGCAAGGTGGCCATGGAAAGGTTAATATATATATTTTTATACTACTTAACTATCGCTACTAAAAAATCCGACCGTCCGCCAGATGGCAAGAATACACTATAGCCTAAGTACGTACTCCAGCAGAACGAGAGGCATCACAGATGTGTCGAGGGCCATCTAGGAAACTATTATCCTCATTTACCAGACTTACCTCAGTCGGTGAATGCGGGGAGACTAGTGACAATTTTTACACAGAACATGAGTGCGCAATTGCCTGTATGTACGAAGAAAACAAAAACATTTAATTGGTAAGTCACAAACATTTTCTAGGATCGCATAAACACCCATAGAAAAACTATTAAATTGAAAATATGTCCAAAAATTTGTCGAATGTCAATATCAATCTCATACTTACTACACACTGACAGATTATCTTGAAGATAAGAATGCTTGGCAGCATGTTGGTTCGGCTCCACTGGACAATACTCAAATGTAGTCAGTAGTTAAATTCCAATAGTAGGTAATATAATAGATAATTTAATACTTTAATTCTAATGTAGACAATCTAGTTTCCTTATGGCATCGAGCATTTCTTTCTTTATTGAAACAAAGAGTTTCCTTTTTCTTGTATAGAAGCACTATTTCTATGGATTGTCAGTATGCATATGTGAGCACCATGTTAGACTTAAGATCTTTATTATTTTTATTTTTATTTTAGTAAGTTATTAGTATAATGCGTCAAGCGTGTCTTTGCATTGTTCTTACATATGCGTACAGTATTGAAATATGTATCAGAGACATTGTAGAACATACTTTTTTAAAAGAGTAACGAATGGAGTTTCTTGCTCGTTCTTCTCCATTCGAATCTACGTTTTGGAATGAGCACCTAGCTTCACCTAGCTTCACTGACGGACTGACTGACAGACTATTATTTATTTTGTATTTGTTGACGTTTCAAAAGTACCAAACTATGGTTTAATTGAAATAAATGCTTTGACTTTGATACTTTCACTTTTTCTAATAATTTATTGAATCGATTAGCTTTCGAATTCAATTTATTTGACGAGCTTGTATTTTTCATCAGAATATATTTGTTTCGTAATTCTATGATCATACGATCAGGTCGCGCAAATAATATTGTTTGACTGCACGATTGGCGCGGTGGCTGGGCTACTGGCTGCTGCACAACGTGTCGCGGGTTCGATTCCCGCGCATAACAGATTGTTGTTTCGACTCTCGGTATCATATTATTATGTATGTGAAATTGTATGTTTGTTATAGAATGAATATAAAGCGACCTGAGGCTGGTTTCATGATCGCTTCTTGCTAATTACCACTTCCAGAAATCGTTTATTCGCTAGTGCTTTTATGTAGGCAGTATATTTAAATTAAAGCGGAAAGCACAATTTAAAATTATTTATTCCACTGTTATAATATTTCCTTAACGACTATTTATAATTACAACTTATTCAATAAAGAAGCAATAAACAATAATATCTAACGTGAAGCGTGCACAAGCTGAAACGAAAGCGAAGTGTGTCGAAGCCACGTCATCGACTACCATTTACAGTGAAACCAAGTTAAGTGAGACATCAAGGGACCTGCAATGTCGTTTCACTTATAGAGGTATTCCACTTACCCAGTGTCTCAGATATACAGGTATAAATAAATATCTGTCTCATTTACAGAGGGTTCCATTAACAGAGGTGGACTTGGAATTACGTGTGGAATTTGTGGTTAGAATAAGAATGAGTAAACAAACAATGTTATCTCAGTTACAGAGGTTTATGCGTATACAATTTACTCGCTGTCTCAGATATAGAGGCAACTATGATGATAAATCGAAAGAACAAATCCCAGATATAGAGGTTTAATTCGTCCCACTAACAGAGGTAATTCAGTGCCAAAGTGTTGGGACCTCTCTTATCCTTTTTTTTTTGTTTTTTTTTCTCACTTATCCAGGTCCCACTTAACCAAGTTTCACTGTATAATACCTCTAGAAGTAGCCATGTTAGAAGAAGGCGTTACTTGCGCACGAAGGATTCAACGACTATCTTGAAAATAGGCGGGGCTGCGCATCATACGACGCCGTCTGACTTCACGCCACGTGTGACGTAGTAGTGGCGTGATTTTTCGAGGCGCCACTGGTCATCAGCTGCAGCGCTTTAAGTAGCGGATATGGTCGCTCCAAATAGATATATACATCGCTACAAATA